CGGGCCGATAAATGAGAATCCGAAGCTGATTCATGCGCAAGTACAGCAGCACCCGTAGTCGCCGCAAACCCCGGCTGGCCGTCTCGCCATGCTTCGGAGAGTCCCCAGGGTAAAATTTCAACGCATCGGGAACCTGCTTGTACCACTGGAGAACCTGGTAGTCCAGATACCCGATCTCATCTCTGCGTATGTCTGTCGTGCCCTCAGAGCCGAGTCCGGAATACCATATCTTTGAGCTTATACGATTATATGAGATCATACACCTCAAGTAAGGCAACGATCCGTCCTAGACCTGTTAGTCGGACATGGATGACGCGTATCGTTCCTGGCTTTTGGCTCACAGGCTCAGGGAGGTTAGGGTCGACATCCTCATCTTGAATGACAAAGGGCAGCCCAGTACCAAGACTCCAGCGTCTATCCAAACTGTAGATCGTCCAGAAGATCTTGGTGACGTCAGCCCATTGATCCTCGTTCGGAAAGGATTTCATCAACGCCTCCCGTCGGTGCAGACCCAGTTCAAGGCACATACGTGCAGCGAATCCTATCACTCGGTAGGCCATCGCATCGTCATCCGTGTGAAAATGGTAAGTTGCCTGTCAGGACATTTAGCCAGGGTCTCGGGCCAGATATCATCAGAGGGACAATACATACCACCATGCCAAAGAGCTGGATGGTCTTGGTGTCGATCGGTCCCCAAAGCTTAGCCTCAATGACTGGCTTGACGCTCAAGAACAGACGTTGACCCAGATCGCTTCGCCCACTCCCCTCCACAATCAACGTTATGGCGAGAATCATCTTGAGGATAATTGTATTATCATCATGGAGGGAATCCGAGCCCGGGAATGCTCGCTGCGCGAAGCCAGTTCGCATTGCAGCCTCCATGAAAGTATAGAGGAGGTTGACTTGATTGATCACCTTCTCAATATCCACCAGCGGATACATAATACCGACTTCTTCCTCATAAACATGACATAATCGTAGAGCCTCTTCCCGTTTGATTGCCCATATCGGATCTTTGGTCGGATGTATGGGCTGTGGGAATACAGCCTGCTGAGCAGGCGGCGATGCGGCCGGCGTGACTTGGGCCGTTGTCAGATCATCATTTATGACTTCTTCGGCGGGTGCAATGCCCATGTTCTGAAGACTGGATCTGGCGACATCAAAATTGAAGGCGGAGCTAGTGGGACCATGAAACCGCAGATGTCTTACGCGAGGTCTGACGGTAGCTGCGCGCATCGGCGTGAAGACCGACTGTGAGCCATCTTGAGAGAGGCCCTCGAGATTCGGCGAGTCCAAAGATGATCTTTGACTCCGAAGATCGTTCAGACTACTGAAGAGACTGTTCACCTGTTCCTGCAGAGTTGTGATCTGGCCTTTCATCGAACGGAACTCCCTGTCCCGTACCATCAATCGTCAGTCGCCGTACTGAGAGCAAAATAAGTTAGTCTAAAGCCAAGGAGATGGAACGTACTCGGAATCTTTGAAGTTATTGTTACAGCAATTGGGGGCGTATCGGCCTATCGCACGGTCATTTTCTCTGCCATGGAGAACTCAAATTCCATATAATTGGAAGACTGATGGGGACCACCGCTTAAGGGCATAGTACTGACACTCGAGTTTCAGATGGCCGCAGCGCTGGCATGGCACTTGACCGTTGCACTTGATCTTGCGTCGCTTACATTCATTGCTATAGCAAGGACCCACGTTAGTCAAACCGTGCTCAGTCCCATGGCTGTATCACAAGTATGACAATAATGATCATGAATTTACAGCAATTCACAGAAGCAAACATGGGGTAGATTCGGAGTTTGCTCCGCTGGGATCATACCAGGCGATTGAGATGTAGCGATTCCGCTTTGTGCGCGTGTGAGTTCCGTTGCTCTGTTCCGCTTTCCTCTTTGCACTGTCCTCAGCCGGGGTGGCATTTTGGTCTACTTTTCCCGCCTGAGGGGTAGCACTATCGACCTGGGACGACTCGGAAGCCATGTCAGATGCAGTCAGTATGGCTTGATCGCATTGTTGTGCGCAGGATAAAGCAGCGAAGAGTGCGGAGAGATTCCTTTCATGTTCCTGCTGGGTCTCAATGACCGCGCGGGGTTTCCGTCTCCCCAGAATCTGCTAAGAGCCAATCAGCGCAGACCCAGAGTAACATAACACATCTCTCAATTACGATAGGTAGATAGATAGACTATCTTTACGACAGCCATAAATATATATTTGAAATTCAAGCGATCACCATGCGTTGGATGCGATAAACCATTTCTAATGCCAAAATCAATCAGAAGAGCATTTGATGAGCGCGAAGAGACCCTCCCGGATAGCTGAGACTACTGTAGTTCGGGCTCCAATTAAGAATTCAACCAGTCGTTGAGTATCAGGATGCATCTTGAGCCAGAACAGGCTGGAAATGATTGCCACGAGCGCAAATTTCCTCAGCACGGCCTTCACCCTCCGAAGCATGAGTCCTTTGCGTGTATACTTGGCTGTCCAGTGGTGCCACACAGGAAATGTGCATCTGAAATAGTAGTCAATCTGAGTAAATCTAAACAAGGTTATCAGTGGGCTTCTTCTATCGGTTGTGCCTTAAACTAGCCGTAGGAGACTCACGGATAGGTGGACGAGTTCCAACCATCATCAGTCTGGTACCAGCTTGTGCAAGCTCCGCGTCGAAAGACGGTGCCTTGAAGACTTCTCTGTACTTTGTCCGTCCAGTCGCGCTCAGCATTTTCTTTCACCTCGAAACAACTGACGCGTCCCTCAAGAATGGGTCTGATGAAGTTCAGAGAGTAATTGATGGCATTCTCAACCGCGAAAATGACGCTGGTATGACCTGTCGCTGTGTTCGGGCCAAACGAAAGGAAGAGATTCGGCATATGGTCCATGGCAATGCCCAGGTAAGCTTGTGCTCCTCCACGCTCCTCCCAAATCTCGTCAAGGGTTCTGCCGCGCCGACCGAAAACCGGGAGAGGATGAAGAAATTTATTGGTCTCGTATCCGTTGGCCAGAATAATGACATCCGCCGGTATCTGTCTCACTCCATCTGTTGACTCCTTACTTTCCGGCGGATAATGTCGACCAGGGCCTAATGTCACGCTTCTGGCTTGGACGCCTACCAAGGGCTTCGTCGTCAGCTCAAAATTGGGCGCATGAGTGCTGGCATAGTAGTTGGCCTCCACAATTCGTCGCTTACAGCCCAGGCTGTAGTTGGGAGTGAGTATGTCGTGATATTTCTCTGGAGCAGTGGCTCGCATGTGCTCTAGGAATTTCCTCTCTAACTTGGAACGATTCCGACGGGAATACTCATTGTCCCTGAAGATTCTGATAAACTCCCACTCCAAGAAGAAGAACAGCAAAGCCCTTGCACCGAAAACAAGACCAGGGACGTTTTTGAACAATGGCGGCGTGTACTTCTCCCAGTTCTTGAGCGACGTCGGCGTCAGTAAATCGGGCATGAACCAGGGAGGCGACCTCATGAGCTGCGTGATTGACCTGACCTTGGACTCGGGTTTCGTCAGCTCAGGGACTACCTGGGCTGCACTGCAGCCAGAGCCAATGATGACAACGTCTTTCCCTGACAGATCAATGTCGCTCTTCCATCGAGCTGTATGAACGACCTCGCCTTCGAAAGTCTCAATCCCGGGTACATTTGCAGGCCATTTTTTAGGCTCGACAAGCACACCCACACCGCTGACAACAATCTTTGCTCGCACAATCTCTGTTTTGACATAGACACTGCGCTCGCCTTCTTTGGATATTTGCGCATTTCTTTCCCCTTCGGATAAGTCTCCGGTACCAGGAACAAGATGCAATAACGTGACTTGCCACTCTTCCGCATCCTCTAACCATCGCAGTTCTTTGACAGCTGTGTTGAGTTGAATCTTGTCAACTATCTCGTACTTCTCGCAGACATCAGCCAGGTACTGAACAATCTCCGGTCCGGGGGGATGTAAGGTAGTCCAGTCTTTCTTTGGAGCAAATGAGAAAGAGTACAACAGCGCGGGCCTAATAGACACTCAGCAAAAGAGTCGCTTCGACAGAGCATATTTGCCTCAAGAAATCCATACACATCGCATGCGGCTCCTGGGTAGCGGTTGATCCACCAAGTACCTCCAATACCGGATTGCCTTTCAAAGATTCTGAATTGATCAAAGCCCAGAGCTTCCTTGAGTCGACATCCTGTAGCAATGCCAGACACCCCTGCGCCAATCACGAGAACCGGGTAGTAGGTGTGAGCATCTTTAGTATATGAATGGCGTTTGTGAATCCTTGCCACCGAAGAGGGCATCTTATCTGATCGGTTGTAATACATTTGAAGGCACAACCGGGCGATAGCAAGAAAGCATAGAATTCCTAAAATACTTGGAATAATAGAGGTATAGACAGCAGAGAGGGTTGTCAACTTATGTGGGCCAACATTCCTGAAGAGTTCCTTGCGCTTCCCCAGCATGAACAGCCATCCTAATGCAACTTATCATTTATTCAGAGCCGAGAATATTGGTTAGCATGGATATCAAATGAGGGGAAGCCAGGATCGATAACGTCACAGGAGCTGAGAGTGGCCTCGCCTCGGTTGTTCGGTGGTTTATGAAGCTCAGATTGGATCGACCCAAGGAAACATCATGCTTTGTGCTCCTCACTCAGCAAGGGGGCGAGTCAAGGCAACCGCCACCGGAGAACCATTGCTCTTCCCTGGAGCTAGACTGCTAGAGATCATGCGATGTTCGATAATGATGAATGCGAGTGGTCTCATCATATTCTCCACAGGAGCAGTCAAAGGTGGAGTGTGAATCGATATGGTCCATGTATGGGACCTGACCTGAAGATCCACAGCACTAGATACCTTACTCCGTAGTTCCCGTCAGATGTCACCTTTGTGTCGGGCTGTGTAGCCAGCACAATCCTCTGATTCCGCCTTGTGATACAGACATCCTTGACCCTCTAGAAAAGATAACGACTTTCTGAAATCAACCGAAGTGGTAGCATTGGCATAGTTCTCCTGGATGAAGCATCAGCAATGGCTGCTTTCCCGCAATAACCTGTGGGTTCCCAAGCGACCATCACGTGTCGTCAGCAGCAAACAACCAGGGTCAATACCGTTAATCAGCTCCAGGGATGGACGCTCGATATCTTCAAACTCTCAGAACCGATATCATCCCCTGAAACCCCTTCGCGAGGTGAAAATTGATGAATTCCGCAGTAGCTACTTCCACCCAGAACTTCCGGTCCTTCTCCCTCGTCGGCACTTTCGCGATCTTCCCGCATGTGAGCGATGGTTCCAAGCGGTCCCCTCCTCCAACGGCCATGACCGCAGATTAAATACGGCATATCTACAAGAGCATGGCGGGGATGCATTCGTTCCTCTCGAGCTCACGCAATCGCCCGCAGAAAGCAAGGCGCCGGGCGCAACTGTACCTGAATCGAACGAGCCGAGCTTCCGGCAGTTCCACGCCCCATTGAGTCTGTTCCTAGATTGGATACGCACCGCAGAATTGCAGTCGCAGGCTACGCGACTCTATCTGGCGCAATGCCAGCTACTCGATCTTCCGCCAGTTCTTCGCGATGACTTTCCCACCCCCGAACTCGTTCTAAAGGCGGGCAAAGGGGACGTCTACGATACGAACGTATGGATCGGGCACCCGCCTACATATACTCCTTTGCACCGCGATCCGAACCCGAATCTCTTCGTGCAAATTGCCGGACACAAGGTCGTGCGACTGTTGGCTCCCGATGCCGGGCAGAGGGTATTCGCATCGGTCAGGCGCCAATTGGGTCGGAGTGGGGATCGCGAGGCTGCTGCTTTCCGGGGCGAGGAGATGATGCAGGGACAGGAAAGGACTTTGTTGGAGCAGGCCGTTTGGGATGATGCAGACTCGGTCGGTACCAATAATATGCTAGATGAAGGATACGAAGCTCATTTGGAAACTGGCGACGGGCTATTTATACCAAAGGGATGGTGGCATAGCATCAAGGGCATTGGAGAGGGCGTCACTGCGTCGGTGAGTTCCATCTACCCTCTGTTTGAGTGTCCACTGCTCTAACTCAAAGCCAGGTAAATTGGTGGTTCCGCTAGAAGAAACTGCAATGAATCCTCGTAGTCAGATTAACTGTGTCATATTATGCCTGGAAATCGGTTCTGTACATTAGACCTAGATTTAGATAAGAAATTCATGATTATTATATCTGAGCATGACGCACAGTCATGGTTGTGGTCTCCAAGGCCATTCTAGAATCCTCTCTGCGGATCTCTCCACTTTATCTCTCCAGAACGTCAATCTCCGCTACAATTATTCCCTCGTCTCTGAACCTACCACTCGAAACTCCATTCTCACCGTCCAGAAATGTACACGTCGCTCAAAGCCATATCCCGCGCTACACTCCTCCATCTCAGTCTAAATCCTCTTCTGTCAATCGGAGTCCGCGCCTCGACCGCAACCGCAATATCACCAAACCTCCGCTCATACTCAGCATTATACCCCATCTGCCCATCCTACAACCTCTACCATCCTACGCAAATCAGCTCAATCCACCATCGCAACCAAGAACATTCCTTCTCTACATCCGCGAGCATGTCCGCCGACTCTGCCTCCAACGAGAGCCAGTCGCAATACCACCGCCAACCGGAAGAACAGCAGGAGCAGGACCAGGAGCAGGACCAAAACAAACCTATCCTCGCGCTGCCGGAGGCTCCCTCGGCAGACGCACAAGCTACGCAGCTCGACGTTAGTGGTGGAGGGTCGACGGTGAAGCTCGACGCTCTGGGTCCGCTGGTGGTTAACCAGGATGGAACGCTGTCGCGGATCGCCAACTGGGAACAGATGACTGAGATCGAGAGGCGGAATACACTGCGGGTGCTCGGCAAGCGGAATAAATTACGGTTAGATACATTAAAGGCGGCAGAGGGTGAGAAGGACGAGGGCAAATGATTGACTGCATACGGCGTTTTCAATGGTCTATCGGATGATACATTTCATGTCTATATTGTACTATACTGTAGATTTTTTCCCGGGATGCTCGCATGGTTTCTTTGTACATTTCTTCACAACAAACATATCCTCATGCCAATCATAATATAATCGTGACAACTCCCAGACATACAATGTTGCAACATCTAGGGCGGGCAGGTATATAACAGGTCGCCTAAGCGAATAGCCAATCAGCGAATCTCGAGAGGGCGTTGCTAAATGCATAAATCAGTCGGTCAGCTCGCGAAGATTTGGGTTCTAGACAAGATCGCCCTTACCTTGGCTTTTCGGGAATGTAGTTCCTCTCGTACTCCTCGATCTCGTCGAGTCCTGTCACGAGATCCACCTCTTCCGGCTTCTTCGTCTTTGTGCGGTTTACAATCTTCCAACCGCAGTACAGAACCGGAAACACTCCAATCATCGTATAAGAGAAGAGGAAAGTCGGGATATCCCAATTCCCAGGCAGAAAGACGGTATAGCCGCCTACAAAGGCCATGACTGTTGTGGAAACCAGAGCAACATAGGCAGTATAGGGTTGCCACCAACTCTTGTATGGGAGCGATTCGCGTGGTATACCTTGGGCGATTATAGCTTTCCGGAAACGTGTATAGGTAAAGGTGATGACGGAGAAGTTGATAAGCTGAGAAGCAGTTACCTACCAGCTGTTAGAGACATCTTTCTCGAAGAAGAAGCCGAGGTAGTTCAGGTCTTGTACGCGACACGTACCAGATTAACGAACCAACCCAGGACGACAGATGCGCTGTTCGACACTTGGAGGAAGGCAAGAAGTGCAATCAGCATAACAACTAAGACACAGTATATAGGTACACCCCGCTTGGTGCACTTAGTGAACAGTCGTGGCGCCTTGCCATCCAGAGCAAGCCCGTACAGACTTCTGCTGGCGCAATAAACATAACTATTCCCGGCACTGAAAGCTGCCAGCAGGATCATGGCGTTGACAATGTGCGGGAGGATAGGGATTCCGAGTCTGTCCATCGCGACAACATAAGGCGACGCAGCGGCGCCGGGAAGGCCCTTGGCGAAGGCTTCGGCCATAGTAGGATCATTGTAGGGGACGAGAATGCCGATACAAAGTACACCCAGAACGAAGAAAGCTGTGAGTCTATAGAATATACCGTTATACGTCCTGGGCAAGACTCCGCGGGGGTTGACTGCTTCTCCAGCTGCCATCGACACATAATCGGGTCCTGCAATGGTGAAACTGGCCTGGATCAGGCATGCAAGGAAACCAAGCCATCGGCCAAGATCACCCGTCTTGTAATATTCTGCAAAGGCGCCCGGCTCCTTCCAGTATCTGAATCCGAATCGATCTCCCTTCGGGTTCCCGCCCAGCATCACAATGAATGTGAAGATAATCAACCCAATGCTGAGCAATACTTTCGAAAGAGCAAGCCAAAACTCGGATTCGCCGTACCATTGCACTGCAAAGACGTTGAGAAGTCTATCATGCTAGGAGTCAACATTCAGGCGATTCAAGATGGGCAGGGGGCTTTGTCGTTCAGAAAATGTTACATACATGTAAAGGACAAGCACGATGACGATGACCCCGCTCACTGGAATAACGTCGCTCCAGTAGTTTATGATCATATTACACGCGGTGATCTCAAAGGGCACTAGGGCAGCCTCAAAGATGAAGAAGTTGTAGCCGGCGGCAACTCCAAAGGCTTCATCGACATAGCGGCCCGCAAATCGAATAAAGGGTGATGAAATTGGCAGGTAGGTGACCATTTCAGCCAGACCTAGGATGCAACCTGTATTTAGCATGGACTACATAGCCAAGGTCTCGTAGGGTAGAATAGCCAGGGAGTCGCATGGGCAGCGTGAAGGAAAAGGGGAGATTGTCGCTTCAGGGCACTCAATGGTACGAATCAGGAGAGCTGCATCTGGAGCGCAGGTTGCAGGCGGCATTGCTGGGGAGAGCAATTTTGGGGCTTGGAGACTGGGGTTGCGTACAAACAGTAATGGCCAGGATGACGAAACACCTAGAAGTAGATATGTATAAGATTTCATGGCTTGATAAAAAATGGCAGTCAAGTAAGACGGGCGTGCGAAGTATGACACTGTTCTGCATTGAAGCGCAATTTGAGCTTCCTGGCACTTCGTCGTATCTTCTCGACATCGATTCGTTGCGACATTTTCTGATGTGCACTCGCGCAAAATATCTTGCTTCTCCTTCCTAGCAATGAGCTCACCTAGTGGAGACGCCTCAAGGCCAAGATCGCAACAATAACAAGAGGCGAACAAGGGGAAAAGAGCTTATCAAATTGGACATCTACTACTTACCAAATTGAAAATGCCAGGAACAGACTGCCAGGACCACCCTTCATCAGACTTTTACCGATCTGGACATAGAGCGCTGTACCAATCGTGCCCCCGATACCGATAAGCTGAATATGTCTGGGCTTCAGCTTCCGGTGTGTATGATCATAAGTGGGCTTCGACGATGCGCCTCCTATTGATTCTCCACTATCCTCGATAACAGTAGTCTTCTCAGAGGAAGTCGTGGGACGGCCGTTTCTTTTTGACAAGTTGGCTGTGGCCAAATTGACGTCGCCGGTCGAGTGGGATCTATCATTGCTGATAGCCGTCGGTAATGATGTCTGATGGACGCCCGCGTCTGGATTGGGGTTCGACATGATTCACGACAAAGTGATAGGATTTTGTCTCATCGACACATCCCAGGCATAGAGAAGATCGGACAAGGGCGAAGTAAAATGCAATTTATAGAGCAGGGGGAAAAAAGGTGATCGAAGAAGCCAAGAAGGGAAAAAAGGGAAAAAAGATAAAAAAATAAATCCAAGTAGAGTGAGAAAAGCAAGACTAAGGCCTTGAGCAGATAGAGTAAAAGCCCATGCGAGATTAAAATGCGGGACACTTTGGAGATGCGAAATCAGCTAGGCCAAAGCCGGCATCGAAGTAGTATCACCAACGACCAAACTTCAGCTCGGCCAATTTCTCGCCCAATGAAAGACCGAGAGATTTTCAAATCTACCTATTGCGCCCTGCCTTTGTAAGTAAGGTGGATGAGATTGGATCAGTAGTGATGGCAGCAAAACATCGTCCCAGAAAAGGTGGTCTGAAGCCACTCTGAGGACTCCAAGAAGTCCCCACAGGCATAGTCCCCATAAAAGTGAACGCGCCTGGCATTGGAGATACTGCTGGACATTTTTCGGTCCAATCATACATCAAGACAGCAGGAAGCATTTCAGCATCTCTCTATCTGTGTCTCTCTGAGTTCAATAATGCCGAGCGTAGTAGCAGGACGGAGTAGCCGTTAGTATCCCTTGGAAAGTCATGGCAGAGGCAAACGGAGGGCAATAGAGGGAAATCATCGAGACGCAGTTAAATCGATAGAGGGATGCAACAAGGAAACTGTGCCTGTTTAGGCTAGTAAGCATAACTAGGTGGCTGAGATTAGTTTAGTTGATTCACTAGAGAGGCATATCAGAGGCTCAGAGCAGTGTGGGCCATCTCTTGGGGGAAAAGTCAACCTCATTTTTGCCGAGGTTCAAGTGGGTTATAAAAGATGAAGAGGTAATGAAGAGTAGGACAAAGAACTAGATAATGATCATAGATTTTCGTGAAGATATGGCACAGTACCAGCGGATTTTGACCGAGAATGATAATTTCTGAGCCCTGATGCGAATAGCGACATTGACATGCGATGGCATGGTGGCTGATCACAATATGCCTAAGGAATCAACTACCGGATTAGTCTCAGCCACTGCATCGGAGTGTTAAGACCTCAACTTCGACCTCAACATGAGAAGAACCTATGAAAACATGGTTACCTCTTCAGAAGGAAAAATGTTATTTGTCATTAATTGATATTAGAAGTTGGTCACATAAAATTGTCTGCTTTTGGACACTTTGCTGATCAAGTAACACGAAGAGCCCATCCTTCTCCCGCATTGAGAAAAGAACAGCCAACATAATCTCGCGATCTGAACATTATGCAAAGTCATAAATCATATCTGCAGTCTGATCGATGATCATCCAAGTCTGGTAAGCGTCGGAACAGGGAGAACATAAGCATCGGAGACAAGGAGGTCCCCGCCAAAAAAACCACGACTCAGGTCTGAACAGACGAATCCACGTATGGACCGTGACTCCGATCTTTTCCATCTGGCGATGGCTTCTCTCCTAGTTCGCTAGGTGGGAAAAAGCAATCGTTGTCTTCGAAGTAGAGGTAGTGAGATATGTCGGAGTCCACGGAAGTCGTCCTACTGCGCCCTTGAGCATCCGGCCCAGTTGCTGTAGATGACATACGATTCGAGGAACGAGAAGGTGTCGTTTGAAAGGTTCTGGAAGGGGTTTCCTGGCAAGAAGACATTTCGCTCATATCGCTCTTGAGAACTATAGCAATAATAGTATGATAGGTAAAAGCTTTGAGCCGAAGCTGATGATCTTCCGGATGTCAAAAGTTACTTGAGGTTGCCCCGCATTGTACCAAGATAAAAGACAAGTGGACATCAGCTAATGTCTATCTATCTATATACTTTATTAAGCTCATGACACGACTCATAATAAATACTTCTAGGTAGAATGCAGCCCGTCCATATGCCAGTTGACGTCATCTTCGGAAGCAATGAATGATAGCCTCTAGGTGAATCAAGTATGCCTAGACATACATTGACGAGATATATAGTGGCGCTTTCATTCTTACTTGACATGATTTAATTGTCTTCATTACTCTGAGAATTTTGCAAGGACGCTTCAAAGAGAACAGTATATGAGGATTTGTCTTCTGAAGACAGCGGCCAGGCTTCTGCAGGGGTCATCCTCCGGTTTCTAGTGTTTCCAAAGGAGGAATGAAATATCTCCTCATCAGAAGCATACGCAGGTGTATCAAAACGTTGGGATCATAGATACATCTACTTCAAGAGCGAGGGGTAGATTGGTAGGCCATCTAGATTCCTACTGCGTAACATATCAAAATTCCAGCTGAAGAGATAGCCGAGTCGGCATGCCCTCATGCAGCTCTCTAGGCATCAGGCTGTCGAGCTGAGTATTGATTGTACCTCCTTTGCTTCCACTCAATCCCAGAAAGGAAACTTGATTCTCCAGATTGAATCGAGAGAGAGAATTAAGCCGGCTGATGTCCTATCGACGATGGAACGCAGAAATGCGGACAGCTCACTGTCACAAGGCCCGACGCTTGATCCTGGTTCATTTACGAAGTACATTAAAGGTCTGCGGAAATTAGCTGCAATAGTGCTTGCATCGCCATGCGCTCGAAAGGGGTCTTGATGCTGCTTGATGATGAGCCAATAAAAGAAGCAGCAAAGATAGGCTCCAACAATCACAGACGATGACGCCAGTTGCCGACAAGATCCACGGTTATGCCGACGTCTGAGCTCCCCCGCCTGCCCCGCGTACAAGTGAGCTCTCGCGGGCTAAACTTCAACTTTTCTTATTTCGTTGACCTTCTTTCAATAATATCCTTCCCACACCCGAAGTCTCCAAGCATACAATCACAATGGTGGAACACGAGCCAGAACCCAAGAGCTTCGAACCCAAAGTCCCTGTTCAGCTGGCTCCTCCAAAGGATGACCCGATCACAATGGAGGAATTGTCCAAATGCGACGGTATGTGATTCCTCGGTTGGATCCATCAATGATGAAATTCAACTTACTGATGCATTTTTTGAAGGCACGGATCCCAGCCGCCCAACTCTCGTCGCAATCAAGGGAATTGTTTTTGATGTGAGCAAGAATCCTGCTTATGGTCCCAGTGGCCAGTATCACGGTATGTCGATTCTCCCCTTTCCCATGCGCTGCAAAACAATTGCTGGCTTGGTCTGTACATGGCGTTACTGATTCCTCTGCATAGTTTTCGCTGGAAAGGATCCTTCCCGAGCCCTTGCCTGCTCATCTCTGAAGCCTGAGGATTGCAGGCCGGATTGGTATGATTTGGATGATAAGGAGAAGACGGTGTTGAGTGAATGGTTTACCTTCTTCAGCAAGAGATACAATATCGTCGGAAAGGTGAAGGATGCTACAAACTACTAGTGCACCTGATGACAACCTACGGTCAGTAACGGCGCTGGGTTATGCTATTGTATGAAGGTACTATACCCCATGAATTCATGAAATCCTACGCGATATTTCCCATTGCCAATTCGGACAATATAACAAATGCTTTTATTTTTGCTTCTTTCGCCAGAATGCACCCAAGTAACGCCGGGGAATAGAGATAATTACAAATAGAGCTCTATACAGTCACTTTTGATCAACCCCACTAAGCCTTCCCTTTTCGAGCTTTCCGCTGCATCCTTTTCCTAGAAATGATCCGATTGCGTTTGGCGAGCTTGTTCTCTTCTTCCGCGTCGCGGTCTCCGTCCTGCTCCTTGCCGCTGCCACGGCTTTCGGATCGCTTCCGCTTCTTGCCATTGGGAGAAGCTTTGCTGTTCGAATCATCTTTGCTCGGGGTATCTCCGTTGTTCTGATGACTTTCCTTTTTGGTGCGTGCCCTGGCCTCCATCTCGTTCCTTCGTTTAACAACCTGGGCGTTCTCAAGGGCGAACTCGACGATCAGTCGCTTCTTCTTATCTTTGATGTCCGCCAACCCGCTCTTAGGGGCTTCGACAGCATGACCGTTAAGCCATCTTAAACCCATAAGCGCATGTCGATGTGTGTAGTACTCGATGAAACCGTAGCCCCGGCTTCGGCCTGCTCCGGTGTTCTCGCTGATCTTGGTTCCCTCTCGACTCTCAAAGACAATCTTGGCTTGCTTCACAATACCCTTGCCCTTTGACTTCCGGTACTGTTCTGCCTCTTTCATAGCCTCGACTGATCGTGTGAGTTCTTCTTTGGAGAGAGGCTGACGTTGACCTCCCTTGACATCTTTGGCGAAGCCGACCACAGCCTGTCGAGCAAGCTGCTTGAGGTCCTTGGAGGTGACGTGACGTGGGATATTGCGTATCGAGAGACGGGTCAAACTGAAATGTAGTGCCGGGTTCTTCCGGATAAAGTTCTGTCGTTGCTTGAAGCTGTCCTCTCTCATCTTGATCTCGGACGGCGAAAGCTTCTGGTACAGAGAAGAGTTGGGAGAGATAGTACCTTCTGACAAGAGGAAAAGACGGCGCTTGTCAGTATCACGAACCAGTCGATTTGATACACCCTCCTCTTCGAGTCTGGCCGCTTGTGATTTGCTCACGGCACGGGCGACCTGGAGCACACGACCGTCTAAGGTATAGCGGCCGCTGGGGTCAGAATTCTCATTCTGCAGAATGGAGTGCTTGAGTGCGGTGGAAGACTTCTTTCCTTTGTCCTTCTCCGCGATCAAAGTATCTTGTTGTTTCGGGGCTTCGCGCACGCACAATGCGGCATCCTCAACCTTCCAGAAACAAACAAAGCCGGTACCACGGGGACGTTCTGTTTCCGGGTCGACGACAATTCGCGCGTATCGAAGGGGGCCGAACTGCGTAAAGTGCTCGTAAAGGGTCTCGTCTGTACATGTGAAGGGTAGATTCCGAATGAAAATCGTACAAGCATTTCGATCGTCTTCTTTCTCTTCTCTTTCGTCTTCGTCTTCGTCGCCCTCGTCCTCATCCATATCTTCGTCGTCCTCGTCCTCATCCATATCTTCGTCGTCCTCCTCATCGTCATCGTCCATATCCTCATCTTCATCGTAGTCATCGGACTCGACATCTTCATTATCGGATGCCGCTTCCGCGTCATCTGCCATTCCAACGTCGCTCGATCCCGCATCCTCCTGGGTCTCCTCCTTCTCAGACTCCTTCTTCAAGTTCTCCCATACTTCCTTATCTACAGCCCAATCAACCGCCAGCGTTCTTCCGTCCACCTCTTTGCCGTTGACGGCCTGCAGTGCCTTTAGGGCATTCTTCTTTCCTCGTAAAACGACGAAGCCGAACCCTGCCAGCTGATCACCTTTCTTGGGAAGCGTGACATATTTAACTTTGCCGAAACTTCTGAAATGTACCGCTAGATCTTCTGGTTCTTTGATGCTCCAAGGCAAGTTTCGGACAATGAGCTTCGGGGGGTGGGTAGCTGCTTTCTGTTGCTCCCGCTGTTTCTTAAGTTCAAGGGCAGCAGGAGCTGGCACACTTTTCCCGAGATTTTCATCAATCTCACGGTGACGCGGCTGAGCGTAGTCGACTCTGATTCTTTTCCCGTCGAAGACGGACCCGTTGAACTCCTTTAGCGCAGCTTGCGCGTCTTCGAGATCGGCAAAGGTAACGAAACCATAACCCTTGCACTGCTTCGTTTCCGGATCATTAACAGCAGTTGCATGCTTGATAACGTAGGATTGAGAGAAGTATTCCGTAAGGCTCTCGGTCGTAGCTGAGGTGGGAAGCGACCGAACGAAGAGGGTCCTTCTTGCCTGCGTCGAGACTTTGTCGTCCTGAACTTTATCTTTCTTTGGGGAGTCCATCGTAGTCTGTGTGTCTTGTTGACCACCACTACTTTCGTCCAGACTTCCTTTCTTGGGTTGTTCAGTCACGGCCGTTGAGATCGTCCACTTTTTTCTTCGGCCTTTTTTTTTTGTAGCGGCAGAAAATTCCCGGCGTCAATATTTCCAGTGAGAAAGCGGGTCCAGGCGGTGAGCGCAGCTGGCCTGAACGAACTTTGGCTGCTGCGATTAGATAGACCGAACCGATCGATAACAGCACTTCTCAGCCTCGAGGTCGACGCAGAAATGGCTAAGGACGTCGATGCTGATAGCGCAGATCCCGACCATGGTCTCCTTGAAGGGAGCGGCACCCCTCGAGCTGCAGGGGACAGCTTGAATTCAGCTACTGCTCAATCCACGGCCCCGAAGGTCCAGCAACCAAAACCGCAGGCACTTACCAACAGAACCGGTCCTGCAGCGATTCTTGTTTCGACCAGGCAAAAGGGCAACCCGATACTGAACCACATCAAATTGTTGCCTTGGGAGTATGCAGATATACCGGCCGACTATGTCGTTGGATCAACCACATGTGCCCTATTCTTATCGTTGAAATATCATCGATTACATCCAGAGTACATATACTCCCGGATAAAGGCTCTTGGGGGGAAATACATGCTCCGGATTATTTTGGCCATGGTTGATATCGCAAATCACGAAGACAGCTTGAAGGAACTCTCAAAGACATCGATCATCAATAATTACACTCTGATGCTCTGCTGGTCGGCTCCTGAAGCAGCTCACTATCTCGAACTTTACAAGTCGTCCGAAAACGCTCAACCGACCGCGATCCGCACCCAACAAGCCCAGTCTTACAAGGAGTCTCTGGTGGAATTCGTTACAACTCCCAGAAGTATCAACAAATCTGATGCAGCGAGTCTGATATCTACGTTCGGGAGTCTACAAAACGCTATCAACGCGCAGCCGGAACAGATCAGTGCTGTACCCGGCTGGGGCGAAAAGAAAGTTCGTCAATGGAGCAATGCAGTGAGGGAAGACTTTCGGGTGGAAAATGCGAAGAAAGCGAAGGCACCTAAGAGGAACGTTGAGCCTGAACAACCCAGATCTTCGGGCCTCGGCACTGTGAGCAGTACAGGGCCCGTAGATATGGATGATGATTATGAAGCAGCCTTGTACCTTTCGGAAGCGGAGCAGAGGAGTCGGGTGGAGGCGCAAAAAGGAGCCTCTGAAGTCGACACTCCACAACAATCCAATCAAGAGGAAATGAGTGAAGGCATTAGCGCAGCCCTTGCGAGACTTCGGGAAAACGGAGGTTGAATATTTGATGGATTGATGAATACTCTGATTGTCAATTGCAATATCTTGGAAGGCTTCACCACATAGGATGGTCTAGGAGACAGCAAGCTTTCAATCCGTCCCGCGAGGATGCTATCAGCACAAATCTGAAAGTTACAGTGTTCAGTCTACCCGAGGCAGCAGAACACTGGTGAACTGCTGACAGCCTGGCCGACTCAGCGCATAGCGCTATCGGTCTCGAAAGCAAAGCTCACTCCAACCGCTACAATGAGGTTACTTTCAATCATTTTCGCATAGCTTCCTATCAGCTGCGCATACTAGTGGAAGCGTCCGTTCTTGACCATGAATGGCCAGTCTTATGCGAAAGTCCCGAAACCCAGATGGCTCGGGCACTCAGGCTATCCATCAGCGGGATGGGCCGACATAGTCTTGCGGAATCCAGGGCATTGGAGGCCGGTCAGCCATTGAGAATCAATACCGCAGGCAGCGGTCTTTAGTGGAGTTATGCACCTCGTATTTCATGATTCAAGAATTGCGTTCGATCATCATTTTATGATGCTTGACCAGAACCCGGATCAAGAAGGCTTAATTAAATGGCATTGAATGTGCGTATCCGAGAAGACTTGCGCGTATTTAATGATAATTCGATTCATTTACTTTACTGCTCCGGAAAACCGCTGGATATTAACTATGGAGGTTCCGCTGAGTCAGATCCCTGGTTTGGCTATCACGTGATGCTAGTGTGTGGGGCACTGTAGCCCGAAAAGGAAATCGGGATGACGCCAAACATTGGAGTTTGTCTACCTTTCTAGTCTAGATCACTTCTGTTCTTCGGATGCACCAGCGGATTCAGATAAACGCCCCAATGAAAGCCAGCGTGTAATGAACGTTGCTTAAGTGTCCGAGGAGCGAGTCAGTGTTCTCCACTGACAAGCCGGACAAGATCTTCCCCACTCTATCGCTTATAAGCTTGAACTGTACTATCATCCTACTCGCCTGGCCAAGGCTGGATCATGAGATGACGGGAGAGGAGGATAACACGAATGCATCTTCAAACCGACAGCCCTATCAGGATGCGCCAACTTCAAATGAAGCCGGCCTTTCGGGTGCTCTACCTGTGCACCGGTCTTCTGGTCGTCATGCGGGGGATATGACAGGATCATCGAGGAACCCGTCTCCTAGGGCAGTTCAGCAAGCACAGAACCCGCAGTCCAAAAACTTCGAGATTGTCCTTGTTACAGATAACGAGTCACGGCGTCAGGTCCGCCGCCATGCAATGCGGCAATATATGCGTCAGCGGCGCTTGGACAGCATTGCTCGACTGGAGACGCCTCGTTTGCCAATTGGCGGCTGGGTCAGCCGCCAGGTACTATCGGAAGCTTCATCATCCAGCAGTCAATCCTGTCCAGTTGAAGTCCCTGTCAAAGACGCTCCTGCGGAGGAGGAAAAATTAGCTCCGATAACAGATGGGGAGCAATGCACCCCAGAAAGTGGGATAGGGCCACTGATGCCTTTAGCGTCGAGATCATCCGAAGTCAAAGCTGAAGAACCAGCTTCTCCTTCTCTTCCCATCGTTAGCTATACACTATCAGATCCTCGGTCCAGCCCTGGTCATGGGGCCGTGGAGGATCCTTTTAGCTGTTATCCAATCCCTGTTAGTCACTCTGACCATGAGTTAATTCAACACTGTAAGTTCTTCTTTGGAAGCCCGTACTCCTATGCATATGATGCAGAGCTTGATAGCAGAGCAAGAGGGGCGTCTGTCAGAAAAATCTTAATCTCATGTTGGCTGATGGCTTACACTGCAAAGTTATTGTGACATATCCATCCATGATGTATAAATTTGCCGATTCCGTCGCGAATAACCCAATGATGGGGATTTTCCGGCAGCTTGTGCTGCATGACAATCTTTCATTTCAGGCGATGCTTGCTATTGCCTCGAAACATCGAGCTGGAGTGGAAGGCAAGGCGGACTCTGTTCAAAGCCTCACTCATAAAATGCGGGCGCTTCGATTAATAAATGAGCGAATACAAACAGGCTCTCAGGGACTGCAAGACGGTACAATATACGCAGTAGCCACAATGGCAGTGATTGAGGTAATTAAAGTTCCCCTCTGCTCTGAACTTTGCAAGTTGCTCATACCGTCAAGAAATGGTCAAAGGATGCTTCCATTGAAAAGATGCACTGCATGGGACTAGCATCCATGGTTCGAAACCGGGGCGGGATGCGAGGCATGCGGGCTTCTAGTCCCTTTTTAGAGAAGGTTCTGTACTGGTAATGCTTTGGCAGAGTCCTATTGTAGCATGCAAGATCAGGCTGACTTGGCATAGGGTGGACATAAGCTGCGCACCCAAGGCGGTTTACACCTCATGTCTTCCATGGACTGGTGCCCTACCCGACACTTCTCCAGAGAGCCTTGACTTTCTTGCTCCTGATATGCACCCCGCTATTCCCCACACGCAGACAGCGGTAGAATCATCCGAGAGCCTAGGCGATCAATACCGTGCTTGTGAGGATTTTCTGCGATTTTTTCGCTGTCTACACGAGCTGGAGAAGGCTGCGTTAGGCTTTCCTGGTAATGTCTCCAGAAGCGGTGCAGCTCTTCGCGTCAGACGCTTCAGCCCAGGAACACCGCTCCATTCCATTCTGACTATGCTTCCCGATTACGACCACGGGATTCGAGATATCCGATTCATCGATGAATACGCCTGTATGTCCTGTCTGTTCTTCCTGGCGGTCGCACTCTACGACTCCTATCGCAACTCTACCAATTTTGACCGCTACCTCGACTGGCTGGACCTGGAAGTCCAAAGGCTCAACCCCTTCACCAACCCGAGCATCACATCCGTCCTCTGGATCTTTCTCAACAACGGCGGCTACCCGCAAGGAGAAGCAGGCGACGCCGGCGAAAGATGCTGGGTCGTGTCCCGCATGGTACGCATTGCCAAACGTCTCGAGTGGAAACGCCAGGGCGCCGTCTGGGACCGTCTCCGGCACATCCTGATCAACTTCGTCCTAACCCAGCAGGAATGCGCCCTGGGGTCGGACAGCATTGACGAGGAAGCCTTGGTCGCCCGGCAACAGAGACGCCTGCAATCGAGCGAGTATTTCTGGGACGAGGACGAAATGTGCGAGGAAATACTGGGATCGCAACCGTCGTCGGTCCTGACGCCCTACCCTCAGCCGCAGACAACTATTGTGGTATAATCACATGCCTTGGTTCCTTGATGGATATCAGAAAGGCATGGAAATCGATGAATCGTACAGTGCCTCGGGAATAACAACCCCATACACCCAAAACATATTATGACGTGATGATTGATGAGATGCATTACTGTCCGACAATCTACCTCACTGTACATAGTTGTACTACCGTAATTAGCAAGCAATACTCCTTTGAATCAAGGAATGAAACCTCAACGAATGTCAGAAGAATCCATCCAAGCTCATTGCCATCTCATTACTAGGTCTATCGTATATGCACATCAATCAGGTGGGTATTGGACTGTCTCTCTAGAACATGAAACACAGAAGCAACGGCCATCCATGCATCCATCCATCCATCCGGCACGTCATTGAAGAAAAAGAACAAGATCACCTTCCAGGGCAGACAATCATCCATAAACGAAAAGGAAAGGTATAACAAACAATTAATCCTGCCGGACCTCCCCGTCAACAGCGGCATAGCATAGCGGCAAATCATAAGAAGATAAAAAACCAATCAATC